ACCTCACACTTAGTTCCAACCATTTGAATTTGCTGTTGTATACCTTACCTAATAACCTTTGACTTTCCAATGACTACCTTAAAAAAATAAAAAAAAAAATTGAACACTACAAAAAATAATAACAAATTAAAAAAAATAAAAAAATAAATAAAAGAAAGCAATAGACTAATGTGAATTTAGTTAGTGTGTTTACATGAAGTTTAGGCTAGATACATGTAGGAGTTCTACTATAAATACCCATGTATGCTAGCCATTTGGAACAAGTCAAGTTGAATGAAAAATATCATTTCTTCTCCATTCTTAAAGTGAGTTGTGAGTGTTTGAGTGTTGTGTTGTCTTGCTCTCCCAAATTAGTTTTTTTTTTCCAACAAGTATTACAGTAGAATACTATCACAATTACGAAATACGTAAGGACAATAACACAGGCTGTATTATCAATTATGCGCATTTTCCCGGGAGGGGCATGCCGAGATGCCTCTAACCAAATCTGGTGAGCCTAATTTCCCTATCGATGATGTGATTAATGCATCCCTACATGATGATTACTGGTCCAGCCTACACACAACTGTTGGGCCACCCGCGAGGACCTAGGTATCTTATTGACAAGAGTGGGTTGCTCTAGTGGTGAGCACCTTCCACTTCCAACCAAGAGGTTGTGAGTTCGAGTCACCCCGAGAGCAAGGTGAAGAGTTCTTGGAGGGAGGGATGCCGAGGGTCTATTGGAAACAACCTCTCTACCCCGGTGTATGGGTAAGACCTGCGTACACACTACCCTCCTCAGACCCCACTGGTGGGATTATACTGGGTTATTGTTGTTGTTGTTGTATGATCACCGCATAACTTGTTTAGATTTTTTTATTATGTTTTAGGTAACGTTTCTGTATTTTCCATTTTTGTTATTGCAGAGAAATGATGAGCAGGCTACTGGATTCATATTCACTGCAATTGTGTACCANTTTTTTTTTGATTTGCACCGGGTGTCCGAGTCTCTTAGAGCCCCGACTAATCCCGGAGGTGCACAGGCCCTCGGCAAGGAGTTTCCCGCAAGTGCACCACGGTTAATTCAGGTTTTACCCAGTCCGATGGCCCTCAGAAATTGTTTGCACCTAGTAGGTTTCGAACTTGAGACCTTGAAAGGGAGCAAACCCCAAGGCTCAAGTCAATTGCCACCAGGCCAACCCCTTAGGGTTCCAATGAATTTAACTGCTGACATTTCATTGAAGTCCAAAAGTTTCAATATATCACTCCATCTTTGCAATGCAAGTGCCTTGACAATGGTGCAACCAAATAACAGGACTCTTTGGTAATCTAGTAATATAGAAAGCAATGTAATAGAGCAAATTCGAGAATTATTTTATAATGGAATTGCAGTGTTCTTTAGTAGAGATGGATTCCTAACTACAAAATTCTTCCATTATTGCGTATGTATCTTGTTTTTTTTTAAAAGCCACTCTTGTATATCTATCTATCTTTAGATCTCATTTAGAATTGCCTCCTCAAAATAGATAAATCTGGGTTAAGTATGATAGTTAACTAACTTAAACTATAGAATTACCATATTGTTGTCTAGTAAGTTTAATTGAATGAGAGTACCTTGTTGATAAAAATTTCTCCTATATCATCAGAAAGCACTGAGTCTAACTGGGATTCTGGTGCCACAATCATCTCCTTCACCTGAAATCAAAAGGAAAAGAAGCAAGGTTTATTTAGCTATCATTAGATGTCATAATATTTTACTTCTCGTTCAGTGGAGCCCGTTCCCATATGTCATGTAGTTTAATTGCAAATGAAGCATCAGAAAGAAAATGTTTGATGAAGTACTTCCTAAGGAAAGGTAAGTGCGTCATAAATATAGCACCAAGGAGGTGCTGTCAAAAGTATTTACATACCAACCGAGAAACGAGATTACACCTCAACTCAAAATATAAGAACTATTGCTAGTATGGCTGAATTGAATACAAAGGATAGAGAAGGAGGGATGAGAAGCTTAGACCAGAAAAGGGGAATGAGAGGACACAGAATTCTTCTTCACACTACGTATGTCGTTCCTTGCTAACTCCTAGACCCTAGCCCCTTTTAACCAGTTCCCAATTTGCACCATTGATTTCTTTTCCAAGCCCACTAGCCTGGGTCCCAGATTAACCTGTGAAGACCTCCTGGCCCTGTTGCTTGTTCTCGGGCCAATAGCTATTTGTGTTACATCCTTGTTGGTATCTCATATTGGACTAGGGCTGATTCACAACAGATTCTATGAGATCTATAGCTGCCTCAGTATCATTGACAAGTCTTATTTATACCAACTAAAAATAAAGTAAGCAACTCAGTTGATCAGGAAATTTCTGTCTCCGAAGCATCTATAATTTCTCTCCCTTCAGGCTATCAATCATATACATGCAGGGACAGTTTGCTCCACTTTTTCTTTTTTGTCCTCCCTCTATTGCTCCAACATTTCAGCAGCTCACACATATGCTTTGGGATAATCCATTTAAGTCCTTCCATATTAAGAAACCATTGTCATAGCTGAGCGGTAATATGGCAATGCAAAAATATGTAATTAACACCGTCTGGCTTGCCTCTACATAAACAGCTTTTCAAACATAATTGACAGTTGTGTTAAACACGCCTTCGAGTTACCAACCAACAGAAAAATGCCACCTTATAAGGAGCATTTGATTCCATCAAGCACTTGTTCTCTGAATTATTTGCACAAAACTAATGCAAATAAACACGCCTATATAGAGCAGAGATTAGTTCACCCTACCTGCAAATTAGGCTACTTGCTAACAATCCAAGCTGGAAACTCTTACTACCCAAAGCCTAAAACTTTGTTAGCTTAGACTGCCTTTGAATACATTCCTTATTTTACTCGATGAGAGAACCAAAACTTCCCACCAATTGCTTGTTGGGCAGATGAACATTGTGGCCTCTCTTAAAGGTCTGACATTTTCTTTGAAGAATCTCACTCGTCTAATATGCAATACCATTTTTTTTAGACATTGGTGTCTAAGCCAGCTTGTTCGCACCTCGACTATTCCATCGGGTACCTGCTACCGCCCACCAGCACGGTACCTAGTAACTCTTCCCACCAAGGCTTGGAAAGATGGAACAAAATCACCTAGTGTTTTTGCCTCAGCTAAGATTTGAAACTGATCTTATGGTTCTACTCTCACTTCAAGGAACACTAGGTCACACCCTTGGGTGCGTCTAATACGCAATATCATTTGATAAACTGAAAAGAGATGCCGAAGTTAGGAGAGGAAGAGATGGAGGTGTTTTTAAGATAATTTAAGAAGTGACTTTTTTTAATATAGCACATACATGAGAAATAAGTAAAAGAAACGGAAGCTAGAATCTGAGAAATTAAGGATAATCATATACAAGAAACCTTAATATAGTTTTTCTTTAATAACATACTAGACATTGATAAGAAAATGTCTGCTTTCCTTTTTTTCAAATAGCTTTTGTGAAATTCACAAGTAGTTGAATTATCACTTTTTTCTAGTTATATGCATGAATACTTCTGCTTAAATTCATTAAGGGCTCGTTTTGTTCAATTGTGGGATAGACAAGGATATTCATCCTATGAGATTAGCTATCCCACCTTCTGGGATGACTAATCCCACCATCTTGGTATAAAATTTATCCGGGATTAACTGATACCCATAACTAAACATGGGATAAATACAATCCCAAATTCTATCCCAACATTAGTGTCCTTATCTGGCAATCCAATGACCCCTAAAGGTGTATACACTGCGTGTGGTGCCAGTTTTCCACCAAGTCAAATTACCTATTCAGGTTTGTGATTACATTTGATATATCCAGTGAAGATGAGATACCCTTATCTCAACCAGATATATAATTGCCAAGGAGCAGCTTTGCTAAATTTTCCTTCATCAGCTGAAAATCTAAATGGAAAAAGAAGAACAATAGGTTATAGATAGAGAAGAACTAGAAAATGTTGTGTGTTTTTTATGTAAGATATAATGTGGAATCTCCTTCACGTATAAATAACTTAATTAATCTACATGAATTACTTTGGAATACAAACAGGTGCCAGAAGTTGTAAAGTATGGCTTTTAGGCTTTTCAAATGAAAGAATGAGAGAAAAAATAACAAAAAAGAAGAAAAAGATAAATAGGATTCTTAGTTTATAGATGTGCTGCATCAGCATACTTAAGACCAAAATTATATAATATACTAGTAAATTTAAAGAGTTCGTTGAATATGAGTCGATTTTCCCATGTGTTATACTTGCAAAGTTGAAAATGATATAAATTCTGTACTGGAGTTCATTGATCCCGTGTGTAATTGAGGTAAAAAACCAGCCAATAACATCGCTAGACAATTCCTCCTTGGTGTTGTTAAAAAGATTAATTATCGAAAAGTTTCAGTCGGTTGTACCTCAATATAAAAGAATCAAAGCAACCAAGTCAATCAAATAAATGCGATAATGCAACTAAAGGCTAAACTGATAAAAAGCAAATATTAACATATAAGTAATTCTTATTGATCAGCTTTGCCAATGTAACAGATGCAAGTATAACGTCTTCTGATCTCGAGCACCGTAACATCAGCATATGAAATTATCAAGCAAAATATTTTACAGGTATATTGGTAGAAAATGGTCCTTCTTATGTGGGATATAAGTGTGTGCACAATAGCTGAAATTTACTAACTTGTTTACTATTGAACCTGGGATTAAACCTGCTTCAGCCTCCAACCTTTAGATAAGACACAGACAACTAAAATGACATGTTCGAAGGAGATAAATGTAGGGGGAATCAAATGAGAGAGTTAAAATTTGCAAACTAAATATTCCTTTTTTATTGTTATTCTGCAAATTAAATATCATAAGCCTCGATCATCTATTAAACACAACAAAAATCCACCAGCCAAGATTACAATGAAGGGGAATAACTAGATTAACTTAGCTTTAAACTGATAATACCATAAAAATAACAATTCAAAATAAACAATAAGTTGCAATCACGTTATTAGTGATGGCATAACCCAAGTTGGTGGGCAAATAAGACTTATTGACAATTCAGGATAAAACGATTCAATTTTTCCATCTTCTATATTGTATGCCCCCATATCTCTTCCAGCCCCTCCTTCCTCGATTCTACCAAATTCCAACCAATCATCAGTAAAATATATGCGATTAGGTTTGATTCCTGAAAACTTAGAAGAGTCAACGCAACTTGCTCCATTGCGGCCCAAAAATATTGATGAATCTCCCAAGGTTTTAATATCCTCTTCCTTGAATTTACCTTTGGTTATATCTAGTTCACAGATCTTAAATTTAAAGCTCTTAAAAGCACCGTTTGGATCCTCACCTATGCTCCTGATTGCATATCGAGTAACAAGTAATAATGCACCAGATAACTCAACTAGGTAGAACTGAACTGAAGGCAGCTTAAACATATCATCTTCAAGCTCAGCAAGCAAGCGTGTTTGTACACTTGGTTGAGCAATGCTACGCCCTGCAATATCATAAACCCATACTTCCCCACCGTAACTCACGGAATAAAATTGGCCTTTACAAAAAATCATATTGCAGACTCCACCATAAGTAACAACATCAATCTCCGTCCAATTAAGATCTCCGGGTCGCCAAAAAGCCAAACAAGAACCTCCTGCATAATAGTGCACCAACAACGCATAATCTGATGTAAGAGATGGATTTGCAGATAAGATAGCTTTGTCTATGCAGTGCCAACGTTTCCCTTCACGTGGTCTTTCGAGATAATCCAAACCATGAAAAGACAGTAAGTCTTTTCGGGAGGGAAGCTGTATTTTGATTTGAGAGAAAGGATGCAACAAGTTCATCTCCCCCGTATTATTTGCCACCGTGCAAAGCCATCCCGCGGCGAGACCGAACGATGTCCCGCGGGCACCAGGGACTTTAATGTATTCATAGTTGTCTGTGAGTCTGCTAGAGTTTACCTTTTGAGTTTGTATTTCATGGAGTTAGGTCACTTGGGCTCGTATTTCTTCTGTCGGAGTTTGTATTTCCCTTTTGCTAAAAGACAGTCAGTGGATTGAGTCTGTACTTTGTTTGAACTAGGATAGTGATGTGGAGTCTGTAGTTCTTTTTGCATCAGAGTCTATCTTGAATCTTTGTAATAGACGTAGTTGCTATCAATAAACTT